ATTTATTACACGTCTACCATGAAGCTATGTACTTTCTTCATCTCTGAAGACCCAGGAAAAAACCGAAACCCCCACCTCTGTGGAGCTTACATTTTAGTGGGGGAGAGAGACAAGAAACACACAGAACGTCAACATAAGCAGAGAACAAGAACGGAGTGGGGCGCCGTGGACAGGACGGGCGGTGGAGGCCCCTCTGGGGACAGGATATTGGATCCAAGCCAAGGACGAAGCACAGTGAGCCACAGGGAGATGTGTGGGCCGAGGATTCCAGGCGACGGCCCCACAGCAGACCATACTTGCCAGTGAAGAGTGAAGTGAGGGGGCAGTGAGGGCACGAGGGGTCAGGCTGTGTCAGGCCTCCTAGGCAAGGTCAGGACTTCGCCTCCCCCCCGCCCAATGTGGGATTGCAAGGCCCCGGAGGGCTCGGAGCGGATCGGACTTCTGTTTGAACAGGATCCCCCTGCCGGTATGTGGAGAGCAGTCACAGGAAGTAGCAGCCCGGTCATGGGTGACAGCAGCCCGCCAGGTGGGAGATGGAGGTGTCTGGGGCAGGACAGTCGCGTCGGAGGGGTGAGGAGCAGGGGACTTGGAACATGTGGCAGAAGCCGGGCCCATAGGATGCGCTGGTGAACTGACTGTAGATAAGAGTTGCAGGTGACACCAAGCTTTGGAAGGATGGAATTGAGGGTCCCTGAGATGGTGGGCAGGGGGCGGGGAGGAGGGGGGAGAGCGATAGGAATTGGACTGGCCCCGCTTTAGACACTCGGGTGGAAGGAAGAGGGGGTTTCAGGGAGGAAATGATAAGATGCTCGCAGAGGTCAAGTAAGATGAGGACCCAAATTTGGCCAAGGGATTTAGAAATGTGGAGGTCACTGTAACCTTGACCTAAAGGGGAGCAGGATCTTGGGACCCTGGCTGGAGGGGGACACCAAAGTCTAGGAAGGCTTTTGCATTTTAATCAGCTTTTGTCCTGTGTAGGTTTTTTTAATGCTTATTTATTTGAGAGAGAGAGCACGCGTGTGTATGCACATGAGTGGGGAAGGGGCAGAGAGAGAGAGGGAGAGAGAGAATCCCAAGCAGGCTCCACGCTGTCGGCACAGAGCCCAACGCGGGGTTCGAACTCACAAACAGTACCCCTCTCCTGTTTTGTTTGGAAGCGTGGGAGCTAGTACATTAAGTTCAAAGCTAAGAGTGATGATCCAGAAAGGAGGGGAAAGTCAGGCTGTGGGAGAGAAGAGACCACCCTAGGAACAGAATCTGATGACGTGAGCAGGGATGCACCCAGGGAGTCAGGAGTTGGTCTCGGATGGGAGCACAGAAGTGAAACAGCCAGTTTGCAGTAGGGAGAAGAGAACAGCCCTTTTGATTGCTTGGGTTTTCTCAGCGAACTAAGAAGCAAGGTCCCGAAATGTAACCATCGTGGGAAGGCACGAAAAGGTGACTGTGATTAAGGCTCTAGGATTAAGGTAACTGTCACGAGGGCTCATGACTTGCAACTTGAAGTATAAGGGTCAAAAATAGTGCAGTGAAGCAAAAGAAAAATATAGGTAAATTGGATGTCATCAAAATGGCGAGTTTTGGCATGAAAGGGCACCATCAAGAGAGTGAAAACACCAGCCACAGGGGCACTTGGGTGGCTCAGTCGGTTGAGCATCTAGACTTTAGCTCAGGTCATGATCTCACAGTCTGAGTTCGAGCCCCGCGTTGGGCTCTGTGCTGACAGCTCCGAGCCTGGAGCCTGCTTCAGATTCTGTGTCTCCCTCTCGCTCTGCCCCTCCCCTGCTCATGCTCTGTCTCTCTCTGTCTCAAAAATAAATAAAAACATTAAAAAAAATTTAAAAAAAAAGAAAGAAAACACCAGCCACAGAATAGAGGAAATATTTGCAAATCCTCTATCTGATAAGGGTCTTACATCCAGAATATAGAGAGGACTCTTACAATTCAATGGCAAAAAGACAGTCAACCCAAGTACGAAGGGAGCAAGCCCCCCACCAAAACTGACAACGGTTGTTCAGGCAAGAACTTGTACACAAATGTTCACAGCAGCACTATTCACAATTACCTGAAAGGTGGAGACAACCCAAATTGTCCATCAGCGAATGAACGATTAGACCGGTGGCGTGTCCGTACGCGGGAATAGTATTCAGCCACAAAAAGGAACCCGTGCCACAACGTGAGCTTTGAACACATGCCAGCGAGAGAAGACACAAAAGGCCACACGCTGTATGATTCCGTTTACATAAAATATCCAGAAGAAACCAATCCAGAGAGACAGAAAGCAGATTGGTGGCCGCCAGGAGCTGGGTTGAAGGGCTAGTACAGGATACAGGAGTTCCATTTGGGGCGATGGAAAGGTTCTGAGGCCAGGTAGTGGTGACGAGTATCCGACATCGGCTGGAACAGACTAACCCCATCTGGGGCAAATGTGCCCTGATGACAGCTCGGTGACCCGAAGCTTTCACGAGCAAGCACAGCCCTCCCCTCACATTCTCTCCTTTTGTTCAACCACACCCTTAAATGCACCCTCGGGGCGTAACCGTTCTTGATCTGTCCCCAAAATCGGACTATTACACACACTTATTTTTAACCATTCTCCCACTGGGTGGACTCCCAGCCCCTAGGGCTATACAGGCGGGCGGCCCAGCGACAGCGAAGCTGCTTGTACTCCCGCTTTTATGTAATTTGGCCTTAATAAAAGTACCTGGGGAATCGTCTGTTGGGAGATTGCCCTCGACAGGCCCCCTGGGAAAAGAACCATTGGGGAGAGAAAGAAGGTTCCGCAAGGAGATCGTGCGGCCCTACATTTAGCCCTTGCCACCCCCTATAAAGACTCCTCTACCCAGAGGAAGGATAGCCTCATACATTTCCCAGCCAAGGAAGGAACAAATGGATTTGAAAGCCCCACGCCGGTAACTAAGGAGCGTATCTATGGGCACAAGTTACCCCAACCCCTAGGCCCACCTGGCCCCCCGGAGGCATTCCAGATGATGACTGAACCTAGTCGGCTAAAGTACAGAATGGTTCATTAGTTCCTAGGTGCATTGTCTCTCTGAGACTGTATAAGGCGTGGGTTCCTAAGGCCCTCTTGGCCCCCTCCTGGCACCTCGGACCGAGGCAAACACTTGTTCCTCAAACCACAAATGGTTCGGGGAAACAACTAAGAGGTCATGTCCCTGTAACTGTTCCGCCTGAGGGGTTGAGAGATAGATGACCTTTCATGAAAGCAGCAGAGCAAATGCTTCATAGATGATAGATAAACGTAGATACATCATGAAAATGATGTAAGAAATTAATCAATCCGCAACGGGCAGGAGGGAACGTTGTGAAAAAATAACCATGTTATTCCGTAAAGGGTGATTACACGTAGGAACATTTTTAGAATCAGGTAATGCCAGAAAACAGATGACGCACGCTACAAGGAAATTGCGAACAAACATCATGCCACGTTTGCCACAATAAGGCGGCCAGTTCCACGCACTGCTGTGGTCTGTGTCCGTTTTTATTTTTTTTATTTTTTTTTTTTCACTTTTTTGCCAACGCCCGTTCATCCTTGGGGAACCCCTGGACCTGCTGGAGCTGGAGTCTGGCAAGTCCCCTTAATAAGCCATTTCTTATCAAGCTCGATTTGTCAGCCTTTTTCTTCCGTCTTACTGGCCCTTTGGGCTTTGGAGGTCGTTTTGCACACACCTCCCTTTCATAGTGAATGTGCTTAGTGCCACTGAACTGTATGCTTTAAAGTTTATTTATTTATCTTTGAGAGGGGTGGGGAGAGGCAGAGGGAGAGAATCCCAAGCAGGCGCCACACTCAGCGCAAAGCCTGAGGCGGGGCTTGATCTCACGACCGAGAGATCCCGACCCGAGCCGAAATCAAGAGTCGGGACGCTTAACCAACTGAGCCGCTCAGACGCCCCCGAATTGTACACTTTTAAGTGGTCACGATGGTATATTTTATGTAGTGTGTATTTTACCTCAATAAAAAAAAAGTGCAGTTATATTCAGACTACATTATATATGTAGATCTATTTCAGTTTATTTCTTTTCAGAGAGAGCGAGTGTGAGAGAGAGAGAGAGGGAGAGAGGAAGAGAATGAACGGGGGAGGAGCAGAGAGAGAAGGGGGGGCAGAAGATCTGAAGCGGGCTCTGTGTTGACAGCATGGAACCAAATGCAGGAAGGACTCAAACCACGAACCGTGAGATCATGACCTGAGCTGAAGTCAGATGCTCAACCGACTGAGCCACCCAGGCGCCCCCAGATTACGTTATTTAAAGAGACGAAATATGCTCCATTAAAATAAACCTAGTTGATTAGTTTAATTTTCTCATTCCGTGTCATTCTGGAAATTACAGGGCTTTTCAAGCTGGAAAAGACCATAGGGCTTGATTGCCTATGCCTGCATTGTAAAGTTTGTTGAAAATATTCGGCAGCTTTTAATTACCACAAATATCAGGATTATTCATTCTGTTACGAGAATTTTTCTACCAAGAGGTTTATCATTCTCTCTCTGACTCATTGCCTAGGATACTGACCCCGAACTCAAAAATTAACCCAGTGGAAACAAATCACATCTGACAAAGTGTGAGTCAACAAAGCATAAACCATTTTCATTTCTTTCTGACACCATTGGCATCCGGGCCATAGCAAATTGTGTAAAGTCATTAGCCTACGTGTTCAAATAATAGATAGTCTGATTTTCTTCATGCTAAAAATTACCGTATATCCCAGTGTGCAGAATACCTTGACTATGAATACAATATAAAATCAGTATTTGTCCCATGAACTATGCATACTTTATCATTACCTTGCAAATAAAGTTCTTTAATGATGTCACTCATTGCCATACAGCTTTTTATAATGCTTCTACATAATAAAGTATTTGCTTGTGGGGAAGACAAGGAACTTTCCAAAAACTGGAAACGCATTTTTTTTTAAAGCAAATTTTTCAAATTACAATGTTAAACTCTAACTCCATAAAGGTATATCATACGCGATCTGTAAAGTTTCACTGTATTTCAGGATTGTTCTTGAAGAGATACTCTGCCTATAATTGAAAGAAAGAAAAAAAGACAAGTCAGTAATTTAGAAGACATTGCTACTAATGATTACAGTTTAAAAATAAACGTACAAAGGGGCACCTGGGTGGCTCAGTCAGTTAGGCATTGACTTCGGCTCGGGTCATGATTCACGGTTCGTGAGTTCGAGCCCCGCATCGGGCTCTGTGCTGACAGCTCAGAGCCCGGAGCCTGCTTCGGATTCTGTGTCTCCCTCTCTCTCTGCCCTTCCCCCGCTCGCACTCCGTCTCTCTCTCTCTCTCTCTCTCTCTCAAAAATGAATAAAACATTAAAAATAATAATCATAAAAATTAAATAAAAATAAAAGTACCTAAATCTTTACTCTCAAATGAGTAATAAAATCTTACTGTAGGGGCTCCTGGGTGGCTCAGTCAGTTAAGTGTCTGACTCTTGGTTTTAGCTCAGATCATGATCTCACAGTTTGTGAGATCGAGCTCCATGTCGGGCTCTGTGCTGACAGGGAGGGGTCTGCTTGGGATTCTCTCCCCATCCCCTGTCTGTCCCTCCCTTGCTCTCTCTCGCTCTCTCAAAAATAAATAAAGAAAAGGGCGCCTGGGTGGTTTAGTCAGTTAAGTGTCCGACTTTGGCTCAGGTCACGATCTCACAGTTTGTGGGTTCGAGCCCCAAACCGGGCTCCGTGCTGACGTTTTAAAAAATAAAAAAATAATAAACATTTTTAAAAAGCTTATAAAAAAAGTCTCTTACCAGAAAATCAACAGGATCGTCCGGTCGGACCTTACAACATTCATTCAGACCCTGCATAAGTGTTGGCATCACGTGGGTCATTAAATAGTTTCTCAGGGGAATCGACTGGGCCTCTAATAATTCTCTTTCTTCTCTTTTCACTTCCTCTAGTCGTTTATTCTACAAACAGAACATTGGGGGGTTGGGGTAAACAGAAAGGGGAGAGCATTTCCACCCAACTCGTCCTGGAGTACTTTAGAACAAGATAGATACTGCTGTAAGTGTTCACCACGTTATGATAAAGATGCCATTTCAAACAGCAGAGAAAAGATGTAAATGGTGTTACAACAACTGCTTAGTAATCTAGAAAATAATAAACTGGATCCTTAAGTCAAGGTAATTCCTAGATGCCTAGATAAGCGTGGGAGGGTAGGAAGGAAGGAACGAAGGAAAGAATCACAGGAGTGCTAATAGAAAGTCTAGAAGGTACTCGTCTGGTGGACACCCGTTATTCCTCGCTCACCATACAGGTCCCCCCTCTCTTGGGAATAGAAATTCCAGGTTTCCTTTGAGAAAATGTCCCGTCTTAGCCTGGTGGTTTCAGTGGGACTTAAGCCCATCAGTCCAGCCCGCCTGCTGGTTATGAACCTTAATTAAGGATAAACACATCAGCAATGTGGAAGGCAGAGCAGAGACAAGGACCCCAGGTCCCTGGTGACATCATCTGAGCAGCTCTATCAAGCCTTGCCTGAAGCCAGCCCTACCCCTGGACTTTTCTGTTAGGTAAACTCGTAAGTTTTTTTATTTCTTTTTTTTCCATAAGTTTTTTTTTTGTTTGTTTTGTTTTTTTTTAGTTTCTAAGCCATTTTCAGTTTGCTTTTCTGTCACTTGCAAGATAAAGAGTCGTAACTGGTATTATTTGTTCAAAAAGAGTCTTTCCCAGCAAGACAGCAAATCCAGAAACCAACACGGGAAAAAGATTGATGGATTTGACTACATGCAAACATAAAACTTCCTTATGTCCAGAAGAAACACCATACATGCTGTCAAAAGATAAATGATGAGAAAAACTATTTGCAACATAGCATAAAAAGCTAGGCTATCATGGGCGGAGCCTGGGGGGCTCAGTCAGTTAAGCATCCAACTCTTGATTTCGGCTCAGGTCACGATCTCACAGTCCGTGGGATCGAGCCCTGAGTCAGGCTCTGTGTGGAGCCTGCTTGGGCGTCTCTTGTCTCCTCCTCTCTGCCCTTCCCTGGCTCACGCATGCCACTCACACATACACACGCATCTCTCTCAAAACAAATAAACCTAAAAAAAAAATAAGGTAGGCTATCGTGAGATGCATGGAATTTGCCAGGCATTGGCGGTGTTCTTCTACATAAACGGACTCTTTCGTCACCCCCGTGGCTGTATGAAGCCGGCACTGTCATCACCCCCGTCTTACAGATGGAGAGACTGAGGCACAGAGTGGCTGGTGCAGAGTCACACACGTACCGGGAGAAGGAGCGGAATCTGGGCTCTCACAGCACACAGCTCGGGACACACACCGTTGTCTCCCGAGGCCGTTCCTGCTTCCATCACACTGCCTTCTCGCCAGCTGCGGTTGCAAAACACTCAGAAAGGGACACACGGCCCCAACGTGGGCAGAGAAGACACGCAACTTACGAGAGACCGATGCCAGCTGCCTCGGAAAAGCTGGTAAAGCTCTGATCACAGAAATGGACGTGAGGGCCGGGAGACGGGGGTTTTGTTTATCAGGTTGAGACTTTGTGAGCAAAATTGAGAAAGCAGGCTGGTAGACAACGTGTGCCCTGCTTTACCCTTGCTGGAAGGTAGTTTAGAAATAAGTGTCAACAATTGGACCAGGTATAGTCTCACCTACCAAAATTCAGGCATTCAAGCCAAGGAGGTAACCAGGCATCCAAACACGTGTCCGTAAGGACAGCCTTCCTCCCACTGCCCCTTCCTTCCACAAATATTTGTTGAGCGTCTGCTATGGAAACAGAGTAGCGAACAACATAGACCAAAATCCTCGTCCTCACGTAATTTAAATTCTACGCAGGGAGAAGACAATAAACAAGATAAACGTGTAAAATATATAGTCCATTAGAATACGTGCAAAGAAGGAAATTACAAAGTATAAAAGGGAAGGCAGTCAGTGGAGCGTGAGACTCTTGATCTCGGGGTTGTGAGTTCGAGCCCCACATTGGGGTAGAGGTTACTGAAAAATAAAGTCTTTAAAAAGAAAAGTGTAAGAGGGGAGATGACATGTTGTGGGGAGTGGCAGGGTTGAAATTTTATTTTGCTTTTTTTAATGTGTATTTATTTTTGAAAGAGAGAGAGAGAGAGAGACAGCACAAGTGGGGGAGAGGCAGAGGGAGAGGGAGACACAGAATCCGAAGCAGGTCCCGGGCTCCGAGCCGTGGGCACAGAGCCCGACCACGCGGGGCTCAAACTCACGAGCCATGAGATCACGAGCTGAGCCCAGGTCGGATGCTTAACGACTGAGCCGCCCAGGCGCCCCGGGGGGTTGACACTTCAACTATGGTGTCCGGGAAAGACGACTTTTAGGAAAGACTCAAAGCAAGCGAGGAAGTTATTTACTCAGATGATGCGTTGTTCGTTGTTTTAATATTTATTTGGGGGCGAGCGTTGTTTTAATATTTATTTATTTGGGGGAGGGGCAGAGAGAGGGGGGCGGAGGATCCGAAGCTGGCTCTGCGCGGACAGGCTGGCAGCAGCAGCAAGCCGGTTTCGGGGCTCGAACTCCTGAACCTCAAGCTGAAGTCAGACGTTCTACTGACTGAGCCACCCAGACGCCTGATGATGCGTTGTTTAAACACATCGGGGAATAGCAGATGTGTCCGAGCAGAGTGTGCGAGCGTGTGCGCGAGGGAGAGTGTGTGCGTGTGTGCGTGTGTGTGTGAGGGAGTGTGAGAGCGCGTGTGTGTGGATGAGGGTGAGTGTGCGCGCGTGAGTGTGTAAGGGCAAGTGTGCGCGTCAGTGTGTGAGGGTGAGGGTGTGCGTGTGTGAGGAGTGCGAGTGTGCGTGAGTGTGAAGGTGTGAGTGTGTGCGTGAGTGTGTGAATGTGACGGTGAGTGCGCACATGTGAGGGCAAGTGTGCGCGTGTGTACGTGAATGCGTGTGAGGGTGTATGTGAGTGTGAGGGAGTGTGAGTGGGTGTGTGTGTGAGTGTGTGAGTGTGAGGGTGTGTGTGAGGGCGAGGGTGTGAGGGTATGTGAGCGAGTGAGGAGCGGTGGACGGATCTGAGCGCGGTTTCAGGAGGCCGAACAGGGAGGCGTCGGTGACCTGGGGAGTCGGGCGGGTGAAGGAGGCCGACCGCCCGGGTCACGTGGCTAAACGGCGCAAAGTCCAATGTCGTCCCAAGGCTGGCGCGCGCGCGTGGCACAGTGTTACACGTTGTCAGGGCTGCGTGTCATCACTACTCCTGGCGACGGCTGGTTTTTATTACCGGTATTATTTACACCAAGCGGAAGACCCCGGGCACCTTCTAAAAATCGGCTCAGGCGGGTTAGCGTCCGACTTCGGCTCAGGTCACGAGCTCTCGGGTCGGGGGTTCGAGCCCCGCGCCGCGCTCCGTGCTGACAGCTGAGACCCCGCAGGCCGTTTCGCATTCTGTGTCCTCCCCCGTCTCTCTCTCTCTCTCTCTCTCTCTCTCTCTCTCT